ATTTTTATCAGATAGAGAATGCGAATATTCATTGCTGGTCGTTTTTCAAATTGTCACCGAGTTATGCTTCCATTTTCGTCATGTTCATAATATATCTGAGAATATTCTTTTTCGGATATTCGCTATAAAGTTTTGTGGTTACATTTTCCTCCATTATTTTGTATTTCTTCGAGCGCACGAAAGGGAATCCCTTTTATGTTCTTTTGTCCATAGAACGGCAAAGTTTTGGAATTTTGTGCCCTATATCCAACTCAGGTGCGTACGATGATGTTCTTCGAACATTATAGCAATTCCCTTCCGTTTACTACAAGAGATAAAAAAACGTAGGAATGGAAATTTGAGTATTTTCAATTTTTCTAATTCCCTGTTCAATTTTATTATTAGAACGTTCGAACTCTAACTGAGCTAAAATAGTTTTCCAGATATTCGAACCAAAATAAAATGGTATTATAGATATTCAATCCCATCATTTCCAATAGTAGATCACAAAAATATGTTTTTCTCCAAATGACATAAAAAGTGGCTTTTTAATGATACTTAACAGTCAGAAAAGGTGCACTTTTACTGCCTCGACAGAAAAAGTTTGTTGCTATGCAACGTTCCAAGAAATTCTATTGAAATTAGTAGTCAAAATTGACACTGACATTGGGTAAACACAAAATGTAGGAGTTTTCAATAAAAAAACTTACACAAAAGTGGTTTTATATCATTTGGAGAAAAAATTCTATGTTTCACACGGCAGCAAATGTAGATTGACTGCCTTGGCTGAATTCCTATAGCCTCAGCAGTCAATCTACCACTTTTCTGCCTAGTAAAACAAATAACTATTCACTAACTTGCGGAAAAGTTCATTTTTCCGCACACATTTTAGTGTTGGAAGTCACGTTTCCGCACTAGCGTGGAGGTAATTTACGTATATAACACACTGTTTATGACTTTCGTTGTGCTATTTCGACGAGCTCTGCAAAGGATGGATTATTTGGTGATGAAAAGAGACAACAAAGATATCAGGCCTGTTCATGGCTATTGAGTATGAACCACATAACATCAAACTAATTTGGTTCCAAAGTCTCGATGATATGAAAAATCCATTTTAGAACAGAGGCAGAGAGCCTTTGAACCTGAAGCGTGTGTCGAGTTCGTAGGACAGAGCATATAAGTCGTATTGGTGGATGAATTGACCTGAGTCTCAGTCAGGGCCAATATGACTGCCTTTTCAGTCTGAAGGTGTCGATGGACATCGTTGAAGTTCTTGCTCAGACCACAGATGTTATAGGACTTTTTCACCTGATGGTGAATTCCCTCTAGCACCTCTCACCCGGAAATCCGAATGGAGAGATAATTCTAATTGAGGAGATCATCAACACTTTTTCTGTACCGAAAACAGAGGTTGGCGTAAAAGGAAAAGGAAAATGGATTGTTTTTGGGTTGGGTTGCCGGAATCATCAACCAGCTACAGAAACACGGATAAGTATACTCAATTAACAGTGCATATTTTTGATGTGGTGGTATCGCACCGGGCAATGGTGTTAGCCATCTTCCACCTATTGGCGTCCTTTCAGACGCCTTCTACGATAGGCAGGACTTACCGTAGGGTTATTCTAATCCGACCGTCAAACGGGTGTAATTCATTATACATTCATTCCTCAAACTGTGATTATACCTACCACCCGAGAACCTCAACCAAATGGAACTAATGAAAATAAAAATGGGTCCAATTCGTGCTTTCGGCGTATCGATGACTGAAAATGTTGGCGGAGGCATAAATATTTTGAAAACTTTAATAGCTTCAAATCAATGTGCGACTTATCGTGTCATTATGTTTTTCTTCATTTGATTCATCACGTTAATTCCAGAATCAGCCTTTATTTTCGACAGTAGGTGTTTTTCTCACAATTTTTATAATGCATATAATTAAGCGTGATGTTAGAAAACATAAGGTGCGTAACATGAAATTGGGAAAAATTGTCCAATATGGTCATGATGAGGTAATTGCCGATGAAATTATTGAATTATCTGTAATTATTTATCTAGATAGTTTAGTTAAAATTATACCGACCATGCCACCTAACACCTCGCATCTCACGATCGTTTATATATTTTTGAATGAAAAAAATAATTCAATTAAAATTAATGTTAGATTCGAAGGAAATTATTATTCAAAAATGAGATACTAATATCAATCAGTGATGATACTTCTCCAGAAATCGAGGAAAGAATGGACATAATGAGGTGACATTCAGAGAGACATTGGGAAATATCTTGAGATGGTACTTCGAAACAAATCGAAACACCGATATGGATTAATTAGTGAGAAAATAATACATATTGTGAGCGACTGATGATAGCTTATACATATCGCGTTATTATTACCCATTTAATTCATGACCATATAGACCATATATTTTTATAGATTCATCGATCTTTCAAATATATAATTGCAAACAACTCGAAATAATTGAATTACATTAATTTGAACGACCTTCCCCCTTCACTGAACTCACTTTCCTCTATCCCTATATTCCAAAATTCGGAACTACTCCATTTTCGATCTATTTTTCGTTCAATTGCTGGAAATTCCGCCTTGATGAATAAATGAACTATGTAGTGCCCCATCACATCATTATTTGCCAATATAATTGTTATAGTAGTCTTGCGGTTAGGAATAATGTTGTGCTGAGAACTATATATGATAGAGCTCTGCGCAGAATCCAGTGGCGTACTCAACAATTCATTTTGGAATTTGGTTCTGGACACAAACTGATATATTTTTTTACGAAAAACCTGTCTATCATTATTTCGTTGAATTCTTCTTTGTTTTTCCTCAAACTGAAATATGATACTGTATACTTGGGATCTTCAGACGGGCTGAAGAACACTTAAACATTGAATTATTAAGAAAAAAATGCTAGTGGGCTGTGAGTTTCACTAATGAACAAAGTAAAATTTTAAGAATTCTTATTTGTGATGTTTACATGAAGAGATGAGGCGAAAAGAAGATACTAACCAATAGACCTCGCTACAGACAGTATTTATATTCATGTCAAGTTGAATTTGGAAAATCCATGGCCCACTAGCAGAAATTCATCATAATTTAATGTTTTGGTAATTTTTCAGAATTTCTGGAAACCTTAAGTATGCATCATTTGGAAGAGGACAAAATAGTGACTTCAATTAAATAATGATATACATGGTGTTCCATTGAACGATATATAACTTTGTGATGTGTCTCCAAAACCGAACCAGGATGAAAAATTTGAGTACGCCACTGGTTGCTACGCAGAATTGTCTGTTAAGCGGAACAGTATTTTGTATAACAACGTAGATATATAAGGGGTCCACAAAGTGAAAATTTTCTAATTCGCCTTGTATCTCATAAACGGAATCAATTGCTCAAAATCTGATTACGCCATCTTGTGTTTCACAAAAAAGTAGGACAGTAACGTGAGAACCGCAATGCTCTATCTCCAATAACAACCGAGAAACCTGAGTATCTGGACACTTTTAAAGGAAGAGTCCTGTTCATGTACTAGATAGAAAAAAATTTGATGTTGGTGCCTGTTGATCAATTCAAATGACAAACTCAATGGTGAAAACTACATATCGATATCTTCGATTCAGAATTACAAGGTGTTTTTCGAAAATATCAATCTTCTAAAAAGTTATGCTGAAACTCATTGTTTGTCAGAAATTCTTCGTTTTTATGAAAATTGATCCTCAGGAACTGAAATCAGTCACCATATACCCAGTTTCAAAATACAACTTTTCTTTCAGTAATATTCTCCAACAAGATATAGGAAGGCCGATTTCAGTGCCTCAGGAATGATTTTTGCCAAAAAATATTCGTAGCCACTTTTCAAAAATGCCCCACCTCGTAACTCCGAAACGAAGACAGATATTGATATGAGGCTTTCACCATTGAGTTTTTCATGGGAATCGACCCACAGGCACCGACATCAGTTTTCTTGTATCTCCAGAATTCCCATTTCGTCCCAGGAAACTAAGAACTCACGGCGCAGGCACGTCAATGCTGTCAATAAAGACCTTGCTGAAATCACAGCCTGGGGAACCAACAACCTAGTTGAATTCAACGCCACCAAAACTCAAGCCTGTATTTTCTCTAGGAAGGCGGAACTCAGTATGCCCGATATTGTAATCTGTGGCACCACCATCCCCACCAAGCCCACCATATCTATGCTCGATATCTCCATCAGCAACACTCTTTCATGGGATAATCATGGCAGATCCATCGCAAAAGCTGCTTCACAAAAACTCGGAATCTTTTTCCGTGCGAACAGCTACTTTATACCTCGACAGCTTCTCATGATCTACATCTCTGATATGGGGTTCAGCACCAGAACATACGCTAATGCTCTTAGATTCCATCCAGAGAAGAGCCATTCGCCTGGTGGGTGACGCCACACTCACTCACTCTTTGACATCATTGGAACAACGTAGAAAGGTCGGCGACCTTTCACTTTTCTATCGATACTTCCACGGGAAATGTTCTTCAGAGATTTCTGCTATCATCCCTTCACTAGCATGACCAGTCAGACGAACTAGACAAGCCCAGTCAGCACATTCTTTCGTTGTCAACCTCGAAAGATGTCGAACAGCACTTTATCAAAACTCCTCCTTCCATAGAACGACTAGGCTGTGGAAATCAGTACCTGAGGAAGTATTCCCAACAACATATAATCTCCAGAAGTTCAAAACAAATTCCAATACCTATCTCCTGTCCCTATCCTCCCTAGGAACGCACGATGTTCTTTGAACATTATAGGGATTTCCTTATGTGCGCTCCAAGCGATAAAAAAAATCTAGTTGGAGAATAGGACTTACCCTTCAAAAGTGACCAATTTGGCCAACCTTGTACATTGTATATCCCAAATTACACCGTTATAACAAAATCAAACTAACATCGGTAACAGGACTGTTCGGTTCTTGTTGGCCTGGTGACCAAAGAAAAAATTCAATTAAAATAGCTAGAAGTAATACCATCATAAATTTACACCGTCTACATACCAGCTTATTGGTCCATCATTAGAAATCTTCGGCGCTAGGCGAAAGAATGTAGGATGCAGGAGAATACAGGGCGGGCCATCAGGGATATTCTTCTTCCGTTTGGGGTATTGACGAATCTGGAAAACAAAAAAATATTTTCTATACCTATACACAATTCTCAAAATTAAAAAAATGCTATTTTCTCGTACATTCTTGCACCCCACCTATAGGGGGGTCACATGAAAATTGATCAAAAAATAAAAAACACAGAAAATCAAAATTTAACAATATACAGTGTGTTCTATTCAAGAGATCTAAATAGGAGCCATTTCCAGCGAATTTCCAGTGAAACCGGAAGTGAGCGGAAATAAAAAGTGTGAAAGCACCTCTCTACACATACCATTCATCAATATCAAATTTCAATTTGATTCACCTGGCAAATATTTTGCTACAAATATTGAATAAATTATTTTGCACGAAATACAAATCTTCCCTTCTTTGGTCACATATTATTGGCAAGGTCACACGATTCCAAGCGATAAAATGGAAAGTACTCATGAGTGTAAGTATATCCAAACTTGCAAAAATATGAATTGTTACCAGATCCAGTACAAACATCAGACAGTAAATCCAGGATAGTAAAGCAGCTACCTCAAAGCACCAAAAGCCGTGGCAAAAGGACAATACGTAAGAAAATCCACATTGAAGTACCGAAACTGAAAATTTGATTATCTGCTGTTAGCTGGCTCACTTTGACAATTCAGTCTATCGTTTTTGTTCACAATGGAAATAACATTCAGTCCACATAGTACATCACAATAACAATTCACGTATTTTCGAATAAATCGATGACCCCACGAATTGTTCCAAGCTCCACGTTCAGGACGTCACTATAGATATTGTGATTCTTAGTTCACAACTTCACATTAAATGGTGTTTAGAACAAGTTGAATCACTAATTAAATGCGTTTGTAAACATTAACACTGTTTATTGAAACACACGAAAACATTGCGATCTAGGTAAAATGAGTGTACATTGATTAATTCGCGATAGAAAATAAGCGTACGCCACCTGTCGGTGTTCTTGAAAGCTGTCGAAGCGACATGTCTACTTTGTTTTCATTGGTTCATAATTGTTTTTAGTTTGTGCTTATTGGTCACATCATCAAAACAAACAGCTTAGAAGTATTGAAGTTATTGCCGTCAGGTAGGGCAACGTGCTATTTTCTATCGCGAATCACTAGAAAAATTGTCAATACCTATCAACTTTTTGTGACCCTAGAAACTAATAGTGATATCAAGATGAGTGAGTAATTATAATAAGTGATCAAGGCTAAATATGAGTAATATTTCATTCTTATAGTATCACTATTGAACATTGGAATACTAACCATCTGACTATCAAATTGGAAAAAGTAATATTGATATGATTATCTCTCTATTTTTGAAGTATCATCGTATAACATTGAAATGCTCGTCATTTGACACCTATTTGAGCGTCATTTCATTTTCATATAAGTGTTTCACACTGGAAATTAAGAACTTGATCATGGCGAAAAGGGAACTACATGCTGGCGCCTATTCAATTCAGAAATATTTCAAAGGTTATACAATAATTTCGTATAACAGCTGATAGATATTACTCTCGGTGTATGATTATTATGAATTTATATATAATTTGCGCCATTCGCAAAATAAAATGTGATTCTTGAAATAGTCATTTTGTCTAATCAGGTTGGCAACAAAAGTTGAAGGAGATTTGGACAAAATAATGAGCAGTTTCGCCAAGAATTCTATTTACACTTACGGTCACGATCGAGCAATGGAATGCGGTGGAGAAAATCTGGTATCAGCAGCTAATTCAAGATATCGCAAACTTTTTCGATGAGAATATTCATGTCAAATCACCTTAGTATCATTCTGTGATCACAGGACAAAGGCTAACATTTTTTTTTATTCGATTTGGAGTTTTCATTGCTGATATGTATAATTGTATATATAATAATGTTAGATTTCATTTGGCAAATACTTATATGTCTTCAGAGCTGAACCTGAATCAGACATTGTCTTTTTTTATACTTTGTTTTCATATTCCATATATTCCAGATGAATATTATTTCTTCTCACTTTGACAAAATGGATTCATCTATACCATGTAATGCATGTAAGTTTTGTGAATAAGAACGATATTTTTGGACAATAAATCATAATTAGATTGAAACTGATACACCTATAGCTGACATATAATACACATACCATCCAGTTCTGACTAGTAATTCGATGAATTTCTATTTTTTGTTGAGACTCAGTGTCTCTCAGTTCGTCTAACAGCTTCATTTTTATTTCTAGTTGAGACTCAGTGTCTCTTAGTTCGTCTAACAATCATGGTGCAACTCCATATAACAAAGCTTTGAACATTTCCTATATGAAAGTAGCACAATTATAACAGCCACCGATTCGAGACACTTTGCATTTCTACCGCAACAGCACCACAAAAAATATTGTTGGTTTCGGATGGACCCGAAATGTTAGATGAAAATTTACTGAGGATATTGCCGACGATGATGATCTCAAACATTTAGAAATTCATCATCAAATTATATTTCTTTGTAGAATACAATTTCTCCTTTATTGAATCTCATTTGTATCAAATACTGAAATTTGAACACAGTACCTATACCTACTACCCACCATCGCAGCTGCTTTCGATAGTTTATTGCGATAATCGCAACCAAACTCTCAAGAATCAGAATTTCAACTAATTCATGTCAAATAGTTGTCAGCCGATATTTCGCTGCTAAAACCATATCTACCAAGATTTTCATAGTGACAGTGACAACAACGATGTGATACTTCCCGGACTAGGCCAGAAAAATGCTACTTTCTAGAAAAATGGGAGACATTCCAGGATATAATATTGGAAGCGGCAAGAGAAAGCTGCGAAACTACAAAAATTATCAAAACGAGCACCTATATGAAGAAAATCTTCGCATGTCCCGCACAATCCCACCATCGTTTCCCAAAATGCCGTGTTTCCTGAGTGCTTACGTAAATATCTATTTCAGTACATACTGAGAAGATTCCAAAGTTATCAAAGAAAATATCATCAAACTACTTCACGTATTCAACCAAAGTCCAGGACAGTTTTGTCAAAGTTCAAATTTTTCCAAAAATATAAACAATAATAATTGCAACAGAACTTTCAAATTTGAGACACATGTTCATGTAATATCAGAATAGAAACAAAGTTTTCCATTGGAAGATTTTGAAATTTAAACAAATAAGCCTATTTTCAGCGATCAATTTGAAAAAATGTAAATTTTTACAAATAGGTAGTGAAAATCACGTGACCTCGACAGAGTATGGGCCATTTTTCGTATTTAAAAAACGAAACTTGACGCCCAAGTTGAATGCCAAAATAAATTATCATTGATTATTTAACATTTCATTCCACTTTGAGCATTGTGGCTATTTCGTACACTGAGGAAAATTCCTATTAACCATAGTCAGAAATCGAATTACCCCAGCAAGAAACTCTAATAGCATAGGGGACAAGCAAGTTATCACCTGCGATTATTAGATATAGAACCTTGCTGTCACTAGCGAGTGCATCTGTATGATGCTATTAGACGATGTTTCTGTAGTAGGTATCTGACTTTGCTACCGCTAGTGAGTACATCTAATAATGGGAGTAGGGCAATGTTATAATCGTAGGTAGGGAACTTTGCTACTCTTGATGGGTGATCATATAGATAGTTGCATGACCTTCTTACTGTATAGTTATTTAGTTATTTTCCAGGATTGTTGTCATCAAGGAAGGTGATATTTTGACTGATATCCACTTTCACTTCCCATAATTTCCACCCTGATGTTTGGTATGAATAGCAATTTATTGATTCCTAAAGAAAATTTCGGACCAATGATCTTTGAAATTCAATAGATCAATTGATTCATGCACCCTCAGGAAAAACCAAAGGGTTTTTTGAGTAATTGATGAAAAAAATAATTTTTCTGAAACCTCCTCAAACCATTGTATTTCGAAAACTAGGCAAGTTATTACAGATGCGTACAGGAAAACAAAATGTTACCAGTAAAATCATTCAAATAATTTCATCACCTGGACATTTTTGCTCACAATAAGTTTTTAGACCAGATTCTATAGAGAAGCTCTGAAACATATTTGACCATTTTAAAGTTTCATGATACCAAAGAGAGGAAAATGTTATTGAATGTAAAATATTTGAATATCAGACGAAATACCTCGAAAAAACTCACCTTCATCATTCCATCAATCCTGGTATAATAACTGAAGCACTCAGATCTACGAAAGCACTGAAAGGGACACAGAAGATTTTTTTATTTGTTTGAAAATGTTTCCATTTTATATTTGAATTCAGATTCAGATTTTGAATAATGAATTGAATTCAAGAGGGGAAGTATTCGTAACTGTCGTGTCGTCAAGATTGTCGTCCTGTACATGGGTTTGCATCAAGAGCCCAACTTTGAATGATTGATCAGGCAAGATGTCTGACAAATGTTTACAAAGAGGGGGACAAATCAGCGAAATATCGAATAACGATGAGTAGGCGCTAAATAACCCCAAGTTGTATTATTGGAACTGAGTGCAGTTCTATGCGATGAACCTCGCAGCCACAAGCATATAACTCACTAGTAGTAAGTAGTTCAGTTAGACAATTATAAAAAAATCATGCTGTCCCAGAGTGGCTGCCTGATAGCTACAGCAGTATACCTTACTGTGGCAGAAAATTCACTTTCAGCAAAGTCGTTATTGCTATCATAGGATTTGAAGGTGCTGCTTCTATTCGAAAATGTATAAAGGTAATATAATTTCTTGTAATGGTAGCAAGAAATATCTCAGCAAAAACTCTAATAGCACAATTTTCCTCAGTGTAGTTGAAATTACGCCAGTCGGGAAACCAGCCACTCCCGTAATTTCAATTTTGGAGTACTTCTATCCTTCTTTTCTACTCAGATGGCGTTGCTTTCATATTGTCTATGAAAGACGCAATGGGGGAATATAATGCCTACTTGAGTGTTGTTTGGCTAGGCTAGGCTCAGTCAGCGGTCTTAGGACTGCTGGCTGGAGACTGCCCTGCACTGATGAGAGTCAAAGAGC